TCTTACACCAGAAACACTCTTACACCAGAAATACTCTTACACCAGAAAACACTCTTACACCAGAAACACTCTTACACCAGGAACTCTCTTACACCAGAAACACTCTTACACCAGAAACAATCTTACACTAGAAACACTTTTACACCAGAAACACTCTTACACCAGAAAACACTCTTACACCAGAAACACTCTTACACCAGAAACCACTCTTACACCTGAAGACACTGTCACACCACAAATCACTTTTACACCAGAAAACACTCTTACACCAGAAACACTCTTACACCAGAAAAACCCTTACACCAGAATCAATCTTACACCAGAAACCACTCTTACACCTGAACACACGGTTACACCAAAAATCACTTTTACACCAGAAACCACTCTTACACCAGAAACACTCTTACACCAGAAATACTCTTACACCAGAAAACACTCTTACACCAGAAACACTCTTACACCAGAAACTCTCTTACACCAGAAACACTCTTACACCAGAAACAATCTTACACTAGAAACACTTTTACACCAGAAACAATCTTACACCAGAAACATTCTTACACCAGAAACACTCTTAAACCAGAAACAATCTTACACCAGAAACACTCTTTCACCAGAAAACACTTACACCAGAAAATACTGTAACACCAGAAAACACTTTTACACCAGAAAACACTCTTACACCAGAAACCACTCTTACACCAGAAAACACTGTTACACCAGAAACACTGTTACACCAGACACACTTTTTCACCAGAAAACACTGTTACACCACAAATCACTTTTACACCAGAAAACACTGTTACACCAGAATCCACTGTTACACAAGAAACCACTGTTACACCAGAAAACACCTTACACCAGAAATCCCTCTTACACCAGAAAACACTCTTAAACCAGAAAACAGTGTTTCACCAGAAACACTCTTACACCAGAAATTACTCTTACACCAGAAAACACTTTTACACCAGAAAACACTCTTACACCAGAAACAATCTTACACCAGAAACAATCTTACACCAGAAACAATCTTACACCAGAAACACTCTTACACCAGAAACACTCTTACACCAGAAACTCTCTTACACCAGAAACCCTCTTACACCAGAAACACTCTTACACCAGAAACACTCTTACACCAGAAACATTCTTATACCAGAAACAATCTTACACCGGAAGCCACTCTTACACCAGAAACACTCTTACACCAGAAAGAATCTTACACCAGAAACACTTTTACACCAGAAACAATCTTACACCAGAAACACTCTTACACCAGAAATACTGTTACACCAGAAACCACTCTTACACCTGAACACACTGTTACACCACAAATCACTTTTACACCAGAAAACACTCTTACACCAGAAACCACACTTACACTAGAAACACTCTTACACCAGAAACACTCTTACACCAGAAACCACTGTTATACCGAAAACCACTCTTACACCAGAAACACTCTTGCACCAGAAACACAGTTACACCAGAACATTGTTACACCGGAAACCACTATTACACCAGAATACACCTTACACCAGAAATCACTCTTACACCAGAAAACACTCTTAAACCGGAAAACACTCTTACACCAGAAAACACTGTTGCACGAGAAAACACTCTTACACCGGAAAACACTGTTACACCAGAAACACTCTTATACCGGAAAACACTCTTACACCAGAAAACACTCTTACACCAGAAAACACTCTTACACCAGAAACACTGTTAACACCAGAAAATACTGTTACACCAGAAAATACTCTTACACCAGAAAACACTCTTACACCAGAAAACACTCTTACACCAGAAAACACTCTTACACCAGAAACACTCTTACACCAGAAACCACTCTTACACCTGAACACACTGTCACACCACAAATCACTTTTACACCAGAAAACACTCTTACACCAGAAACCACACTTACACCAGAAACACTCTTACACCAGAAACACTCTTACACCAGAAACCACTGTTATACCGAAAACCACTCTTACACCAGAAACACTCTTGCACCAGAAACACAGTTACACCAGAACATTGTTACACCAGAAACCACTGTTACACCGGAAACCACTATTACACCAGAATACACCGTTACACCAGAAAACACTCTTACACCAGAAAACACTGTTACACACAACAAAACACTGTTACACCAGAAACTACTTTTACACCAGAAAACACTCTTACACCAGAAAACACTCTTACACCGGAAAACGCTGTTACACAAGAAAACACTGTTACACCAGAAATCACGTTTACACGAGAAACCACTGTTACACCAGAAATCACTCTTACACCAGAAACCACGCTTACACCAGAAACCACTGTTACACCAGGAAAGGTGGGAAGGTTTGGGATTTGTTGAGAGGCTGGACGTTTTTACAGTTGTAAATCCAGACATTCTTAGATGATGTTAAGTATGAGGGTAAAGATTATGCTTTTGGAAAGAAACAACAACCTTGCAACAATGCAATTGCTGTGGTAAGCATTTCCTCGTTTTCTCGCAGTTTGAAGCATTATATTTTTCCAAACCTTTACAAAAACAATTATACATTTTTTTTCCTTTAGATTCCAGGCCATCTGGGTAAATATTTAATGTTTGTCCTATGAGTGGCTTGACAAACCATTCCTCCTTGGTTATAGAAACGATGGTATCTAATCATTATATGTTGTAATATGGTTAATTTATCAAGAATTTATAAAATAGCCAAACGGTCAAAGTGCTGGTCGATATATCAGAAAATAAGGTATATCGGGCAGCGAAATATATATAACGTGTTTATACTGTGTCCACAATATGTGACACATGAACACAAGGCAGCTCAGTATGTGACACGTGTTTATACCGTGTCGACAATATGTGACACATAAATATCGGGCAGCGCAATATATGACACGTGTTTATACAGTGTCCACAATTTGTGACACATGAATATCGGGCACCTCAGTATGTGACACGCGTTTATACCGTGTCGACAATATGTGACACATGAATATCGGGCAGCGCAATATATGACACGTGTTTATACAGTGTCCACAATTTGTGACACATGAATATCGTGCAGCTCGGTATGTGACACGTGTTTATACCGTGTCGACAATATGTGACACATGAATATCGGACAGCACAATATATGTCACGTGTTTATACAGTGTCCACAATTTGTGACACATGAATATCGGGCACCTCATTATGTGACACGTGTTTATACCGTGTCGACAATATGTGACACATGAATATCGTGCAGCTCGGTATGTGACACGTGTTTATACCGTGTCCACAATTTGTGACACATGAATATCGTGCAGCTCGGTATGTGACACGTGTTTATACCGTGTCAACAATATGTGACACATGAATATCGAGTAGCGCAATATATGACACGTGTTTATACCGTGTACACAATATGTGACACATGAATATCGGGCAGCGCAATATATGACACGTGTTTATACCGTGTCGTCAATTTGTGACACATGAATATCGGGCACCTCAGTATGTGACACGTGTTTATACCGTGTCGACTTTTACACCTAATGCCATGTTGGCATACCCAGACTGATTATTCTTTGTCGCTGACGAATTATCTGTTACTAACTGCTATCAATGCCTTATAACAGGCGTCATGATCCACATTATTCGTGAATCTTAACTGAATGTCATGATAATCTAACAGAACACAAAGTTCCTGATTTAATTGTACGAAAGGCGGGTGATGATGGTAGAGAGGAAATTGTTTCCCGTTAGCGAACACCTGGTGTCATCACTAAGTCTTAATTTCCGTGGTCCATATATATACTATAAATTTCATTCCTATTTTGAGCCACCTTCGTGGTGTAGTGGTTAGAGCGTCCGCCCGGAGAGTGGAAGGTCGCGGATTCGATCCCCGACCGCATCATACCAAAAGACGTTAAAATATGGTACTTGTTGGTCCCTGCCTGGCGCTCGGCATAAATGGGTACAACAAGGACTGGTCGGCTCGGAGTCAGCATAATGTGTCTGAGTGGGGTATTCATGCTTCACTGCGGCATGGTATCTCAGTGGGCTAGCACTATAAAACCAGCTTCAGTCTTGGCTAGGACAAGCAGCCGCACAAACACATACACACGCATGCACGTCATCATATGAGCGAAATATTCTCGAGCACGACGTTAAACCCAATTTCACCTCACCTCACCTCCTATTTTGAATTGGGAGCAAGTATCTGATTTGGAGAATTACAGCAACTGATTTGTCAGAGGTGCTGACGTTTTAGATCTGAGCGCAGACTTAAGTTAAATACCATGTAGAAGTAAAGAAAAACATCCTATCCATCATTCTGGAACACTTTCAACAAGCCACGCCTTGGGGAAAATGACAAATGGAGAGTTTTTGGTGTAGTTATGCTCTTTTACCTCGCAGCGTGCCGTTGATCTACGAGCATACGCCGTCGTGGTTGCTCACAAATGTCATGACCAATGTAGTCGAGGCATGCACCTACGACACATGTTCCAACAACCATACAACCCTAGCAAGGACGCCAATGATCGTGACTGGGTTGACGTGAATACGTTGTAAGGTTCCGAGAATAGATTTTGGAAATGGACGCTTCACCGTTTTTGCAATCAATCCGCCTGTTTCAATACAATAACGCCAGACCACACCGTTCCTGGAGTGTCTAATCAGAAGAACATTAATGTGTTACATTGGCCGGCTATAGAATCCATGATTTATGCAGAAGCCACCATGTTCACTGAAAAGGTTTACTCCAAATGTTATAAAAAAAACCTCTTTTCGTAACGAGTGGAACATGGAATTGCAAATGACTGTTTTGGTTTGACTTGGATTACGCAGACGAAGATTGATAAAATAACGCCAGAACAATGATGAGATGAGACACTTTTAAAGTAATTATCCTTGCTGTTCAGCTATAGGGTGCAGACACATATTCCGCATTTCGCTAATATCAGCTATCAATTCATTGGTTCTTGGGAAATAAAATGGGTCAAAATTATGTGGACAAGAATCTTTATTGTGTACATTACATTTTGTATTGTGTCGGCATTGCCGTTTCATAAAAATATACAAACAAAATAGTCTTTCCACAATCATAACATATCCCTTTACAATTTCAAATTGTCATTTCATTACCTTCAAACTTCCATACATAAAGGAAACGACATGCACATGTTTTTTCGCAAACACCTGATATCATCACTATTTGAGGGTAATTTATACTGGACAAAAATATTTAGGGATATATGTAAATTTTGAGATTATGAATAATGATCTATTTATTCATTGACACACTGATAAAATATCAATCATAAAAAACCTAACATATTTTGTCCAGTATATAAACAAGATGCTATTATGATAAAGTCGGAATCAGACACAAGGGTTTGACATGGATGCTGTGGGCATGACCCACATTGTTCGTGAAGAAGCATACGACTTTATATTCTTCTTGTTTGTTGCATAGATTGACGTATCGATGTAGATATCAAGATAAAAGTGATTACATAAGGGTGATGGGACGTATATACAGATTGTATGTAATAACAAGCATCACTTTAAACTACAATAAGTAGCCCGAGCTGGATGAGATCAGTTGGAGGGTGAGAATAACAAACAGCTCTTTGAACGGATTTGTATGGAACTGTGTAATCCCGTCCAAAAGAAACATTATGGCCATAACGTCAGGTTCACAAACACAAATTAAACGACAAAGAACATAAAAATGACTATGGAAAGCATCATGATTTCAGCAGTTAACATTATTTTCAAAATTGAATGAGGTGGAATTGAAGCCACTTCAGGCAGTATTTCAGTTATATCATGTCAGCTTAAAGTGGGAGGAAACCTAAATTAGGATATATTTTGTCTGATACCCACAAGTACAGGCACTGTTCTAACAAACTTAGCAATATAGTAGCAAACCGAGACCTAATCCTTCGACCATACACACAATCTCAAAATTAACATTTTTCTGGCTTCAGTTTTACTTTAAAGGGGGTACACAGAATGTATATGCTATACATTACACTTATATATCATGATTCCTGTGCAGGCTATGATAACGATTAACAGTAATGGTAACACAATGAAACCTATACGACATATCCAGGGACTTGCACCAAAGGTCACACAAAAGGACTCAGTCTGTTTGACTTCAGTCTGGCCGTCGCGTAAAACATATTCACAGCACTTCCTCAGTCGTTGCATGTTTTTCTGAAATATATAAATGAGACGCCATTAATAGCTGTCTTCATGTCATGACCTGGGGAAAGGTGAGGGTGTGAGCTTAGTTTTACGTCGCTTTTAGCAACATTCAAGCAATATCCCGACGGGGGACAACAGAAGTGGGCTTCACACATTGTACCCATGAGGAGAATCTTCGGCGTGACGAGCGGACGCTTTAACCACAAGGCTACTCAACAGCCCCTCTGAGGAAAAGGCATCAGTACATTAAAATGTGGATCCGGACTTCACATACCTTGTTCTTAACTAACCCCATTCTCTCACATGCAAGACGTTTTGCACACTCATTCAGGTCTTCCTCAAACCCTTCACTTGTCTTTATGCCCATCATGCAATCCAGAATGCAGTACACAAAATTTGGGCCCTCGCCTTCGCTGAAACAAGATTTTGCTATTTTCAATATAAGGATAGCATGGAACATCAACTATACACAAACAACAATATAAGGACTGACCTTCTTTTCTTATATACAAATGTTGGTAAAATCATTTGATTATGAATGGTCAATTGGAAACTTTAAACCAAATGCTGAGGTAAGGTTGCTAAAATGATATTATTTGTGGTAGAATATATACTAAAATATCAATAACCTCAGTTGGTTTAAACATGTGTATGTTTGTGTGTATGTATCGGTTTACCTTGAACAAACTACGATTGGTCTTGTAAGGTATTCAGGATTTTTCCTGACAATTTTCGTGAACTCGTAGAAGCTTTTTTCGTCAAACCATTTGAAGTAGTGGTAGAGATATGTTGTCTTCGCCTTGCCATTCTGTGACAGCTTGTAATCAACAAAATGTAGCGTGGCAATGACAAAATACATGCATACTTATATTGGAGTATATTAATGAAATATGAACTAAAGTGTGCAAAAGACAAATAATGATTTGGAAATCGAAGTCATCCCACTTATACACAATGGTAGAGACGCTGCCATCCTTTGAATGCTCATGCACAGGTCCATATAAAACAGACCGTGATTGGTCTACAGAGACCCATGCTTGCCGTATGAGACAAATAATGTGATCGCGTGGTCAGACTCGCTTACTTAGTTGATACATATCATGGTATCCCAGCTGCGTGGATCGATACTCTTGGCAATCACTGGATTTTCTGCTCCAGACTCGATTATTTACAGACCACCGTCATATAGCTGTAGTATTGCTGAATGCGGTGTTAAACACTACACAACACAACACAACACAACATAAAACATTATATATAAAAAAACACATTATATATAACATTATATATTATTAAAAAAATAGCCTCAGCTTTCAAACTTCAGTATGTAGATGGGGCGAGGCAAAGAGCAACTGGGAAGGAAGGAGACGGGCACAGTTTGTAACCACGGGGATACGTACAAATTTTCTAAACGTTCTGTCCCCCAAACTTGAAAACAATATTATTATGGAATTCAGTAACTCACATATTTCGGTTTCTGGGTGATACTGAATAGAAATATTTTCATTCTTAACAATCTGACATCCATTCAAATAATACGATCAAATTTGCTAACCCTTTTCTTGGAGACAAAAGCCCTGTTGATTATAGAGTCATTGTCATCAGTCATTTTCAGTTGCTCATACTTGAATGTTGACAGCTATTTTGCGCTTCATGACACATGGATTCTATTCTGACGGATACTCAAGACTTTCCTCTGTTTTCTGGCATTTACTTTTACTGGTTCGATGGTTTTGCTGATGGACTACACTTATCGACTTTTAACAGCTCAGTAGCATTTATCTTAGTCTGTCACACAGTCTTTAATTTGTGAATATATTGTATCCCCATGTGATAAACTCCGGTTGATGAACTTATGCTCTGGTACTGTCATGTTTGGCCTTGCCTGATTATGTCAGATGTATTGTTTGCAGTTTTTGCAAGGATTTGGCAGTACTATATACTGTGTAAATGTTCATCTTCACTTGATACCATATCGATGCATACAATAACAAGCAAGTTAATAAAGAATTAGCTTACCGTTAATGAACAAAGTTCATAATTGTCAAATCTTCTACGTTTTTTGCAGCGGTGACTTGAATCCCAAAAGTTCAGATAACTATCAAGCTGAAAAATGAATAATGGAAGAATGTATCTATATATATACGTCATATGTATGCGTAAATATTTAGGAAGTCAATATAACAACATGAAAAATAAAAAATCCAAAAAGGTCCATAAGCAGACAAACAGTTATCATTTCAGCACTTGTTTGTGAAAGAAAATGATTCTATTTCTGAAGTTCTGGAGTTAAACATGCGTAAGTAAACAATACACTGTAATGTTGATATTACGACTGAACCGAATATTTCTGGACTATGTGTCCCATTAAAGAAAAGACAATCTTCTTGAAATGGCACATACCACGTGCTTTCTATTAGAAGATGTGAAAACAATCACTTTGATGTCATTTTCAGTTACCATCCTCAGAAACTTTTCATCAAGTTCTTGCGTGTTGGGCACTAAATAGAAGAAAGACATTCATTTATCAAATTTTTCAAAACAACAGGTTGGTACGTGCATTAATATATAGGATGCATTAGTTGAGGACGCCTTATACATACTGTTCTTCATCTGATATATGTTTTGTTCCAAAAAAGTAATACGTAAACTTTAAAGAAGAAATAGGGTGTTGGTGATGTAGAAAATTGAATGTTTCAACGTACGCTGAGTAAGTATGTATCTCTCTGATCCGTCATTTCCCTGAAATGAGAACATTCATTGTTTGATTGGACATGGAAATAAACTAACCATAAATGGATTACTAGTTCATTTGTTTTTCACCCCCACGCCCAGGTTATGATTTATGTGGGGCTTCTTTTCAATTTACGAACACTCATAACATCAACATTGCTGCATTACAAAAAAGGTTCACTCCCATTTGTCAGACGTGCCATTTGTCAGACGGCCCAATTATCAGACAGACCAGTCAAGTATGACCAGTGTAACTGCCACTAATTAATGAACTGCTCCAAACTGTGACAAATGGGAGGATACCCGAAAAAATGTTAAATGTTTAAAAACAGGTGTACTGTTGTTAGATACCGTCAAGGGATAAGCATCGATTGATTTGTCAAGACAAAGATCCAATTGCTGAGGTCCTGGAGATGAATCCAAACCTGAAAACATTAACAGTGTCATTGATATCTGACACACGCACTCTTCGTGTATATAGGGGTTGTCATGTATAGGTAACAGCTGAAAGCGGTCATACAGTTTCTGTGAAATGTCTCCGCACTAAATGTGGATATGTATAAAGACAAATTCCGTTCTTAAGACTGATGACATTAAACACTTCAATAGTTGTCATTTAAAAAAAACGTAAACAATTCCACATTTGCAATATTTTTTGCACATCACATCACATGCATATTTTTGCCTTGCATCAATAAAAATGTGACAACTGGGTTTAACCGAAACAATCAAATTAAAGTATTTAAACAAATTGGAGATTATATTACCTTTGTTTGTCGGCCTTTTCTTTGAGTAGTGTTTCCATGCCCCAACCACAACCAGGATCATGACACAAATTATCGCCAGAATCAGAATAACCATCGCAGGGATATTACCTGGTGAAATATAAACAACAACACGTCACAATTTGATTCTAGAAACCCAAACTTCAACATGCAGTTTTCATGAATATATGATACCGATGAAAGAATGAAAACATTTTTTTCGAAAACTTGGAATTCATGTTTTCATCCTGACCATATTTTCATGACAACTGCATGTTGAATTTTGTCAAACCCTTTGTCAGAAACCGGCCACAGTGCGTAGAGTTTCTGGACTTTGGGGTTTCCAGAATTAAATTATGATGTGTTAAATGCACTGGCAAAACAATAGTAGAAACATTATACATGTATATTCAATGTACACATGCTAATATAACTAACATAGCGAGCTTATGTATATTTAACGTTAGGGTTGGTAATATGGATAATATGAATTCCGCGGAAACACGGCAATTTCATGCATGCTATTTTCATGTAAACATGGTAGGGGTAAAATTCTAAAGTTAAACTCAATTAAGCGTCTGTCAGGTCAGGAACGGCTATGATTTTTGCGGCCATCTTGGACGCCATGTTGAATTTTTCGCAAAGTGGGCCCAGAAAATTTGACACCCCCAACAATATGTTTTATTATGATATTCCTCAGCACTTTGATCTTTGATCGTCTGAGGTTCAACGGCCAATGCAAATCTCAGCCAGGGCTTCCCGTTACACTGTTAAACTATTTATCTCATTAAAGATATATAATATCAAAAGTTGTGACACTTTATTAAATACCCCTTACTTTCTTTTATTAAAATTGTATTATAGCATGAGCAAGACTCAGTCTAATTTAATAAGGACTGACCTGGACAAATAGTATCATCAAGGTATCTATTCTAAGCAGTTTCTTACTGGCTGTTTCTTTTTTAATGCATGAAACTGCTAGAATAAGTACCTCAAAATGGCTTTAACAACACTCTACTTACACATTTTGACCGTCTCAGGACAATGTTCACATTCACAAGAGTCGCCATAATGACCAGCCTTACATCCAGTGCACTTGCAATCATCGAAATTACAATCTGTACAGTTTTTTCCGCACGGCGTGTTGCAGTGGTTCATGGTTGAACAATAACCTTTGACGCACCCATCACTACAGTGCCCTGTAATTCTGTTACAGAGGCTTTCAGGTCCTTCGCTGTAGCAATTACTTGAACAATTCAATGTACAGTTTTCTCCGTACTTCCCATCTTGACAATTTCTGCAAGAGCAGTTGTCCTTGTGGCAGTCATAAGCACAAGTACCGATACAAGATGATGTGCAGTTCTGTCCACACTTGCCTGTTGGACATGAAGCACAAGACCCTGCAAAAAATGCCACATATATACTCATGCCAATAATGATTGTTCACGCACCCCAAGCCCAAACACACCTCACACCCCCACCCCCATCAAAAAATTTGAAGGCGGTGACAACCATTATTGGCATGAGTATATATCGAGTTGAAAAAATGTCAGTGTTATTCTCTCGTATCTTGCCTTGTTGGTGCAATGACGTTTACATACATATTATGTATACAGGTTATATGTTCTTTCACAGTTGACAACGAACTGACATGTAGTAAATGTTTGAAACTAATAGTCTGCCCACGTACCTATAACGAAGGCAAGGATCAGGCCAATCCAGCATAGACCTTGATGCGTCATTGTTAACTGAAACCAAATGATAAACTGACACAAGAACTAGGGGTGATCTGTTTTGAAGTGTTGTCAGTGAACACGGGTTTAATCGTGGGGTGATTTAATGGATGTGATCGCGATACCTGGAAGGTTCATATATATTATACAGCTACAACAAAAGGGGCATACATTGATATATTTCAGTTGTTGTCATCCATAAATGGGTTAGTTAGAATTGACTTTGAAAGTTCAAATAACGTTTGCATAATGATACACGCTATGTAGCTTAGTGCTACACAAAGCTTGGTCGACTTTCTTATCCAACATATCAAAATTACAAAATAGTTCCTCCATTGATAATTGTCATTTCGCAATGTGGGAATGAGTTTGTATCTTTAACCGTCCGGTATTTAACATGTTCAGACAATTTACACGGTTAATGTTACCTAGTTATTTTTACATCTGTATGGCAATATTTTGTACATACATTACGCATGTTGATTTCCTTAGATACAGTATCTTGGTGGTCAGAACTACAATAGTCTGTAGGGGAAGTCAACCCCCAATGTTCAAACCTGAGCTGTATGAGCTATCTTTCACGAAGATCAATAGAGCAACACACTTCATTGTTGTTACTTGTCGCATTAACTGCGCAATGAATAACAATGACAAAACAGTTGAGAATCAATAATCTTGAGCGTGAATTGCGGTAGTTATGACACAATATCAGCAAGATCAACACCATGGGACAAAGTACAAGGCTTGATGTTGCGTTGTACTGAATAAGCTTTTTCCTTTAGACAAGCAGAAACTATTCTGGGTCCAATAAACACTTCCATGTAGGGTGTACATTTCATGCTAAAATGTATGTACTATTTATTACATGTTTTAATGTATTGTTACCGTTGAAAGTTAAAAGTATGAATGTGAATCTATTATCATCCTTTAGAAATGAATACCAAGACGTATTGTTACGTGTGGGTTATTCATCATATCTCCTCCAATCAAACGGTTAAGATAAAATTGCTTTTTAGACCGCAGTTATCCTGGTAAATCAGTTTTTACCTGATTAGGTGCGTCACGACAAAACTACAGGTTTTCCATCAAGCTTCGTGAGAAATCCCACACAGGGAAGTGAACGAGCAACCTCGCTGGCAAAGCGTGACTTCCCCTAAACTTCCCCATGAAAGCATGGTAATACCAGATACATATTACAGATGAACAATGTGTAGGATTTAAATGATCCAATACAAACTATTTGGACCTGAGGAAAGGTTTAAAGTGAAAGAAAAGGGAAAATATCGACATGTCCCTGTTGTTTAACTCTGACTTCGTCGATGAAAATCTACCCTTGGATTATTTATCTAAGTTTCCATTAAATATATGTTCTCATGAACAGTTTGAAAAGTTTATACAAGCACAAGAAACGTTCTTTTTTTGTGGAAACGAGGCTTCCATTACTCACCTTCCGTTGCCAATTGTAGCTCTAAGTGACTCAAAGAAAGTACGTGGATCAAACAAAGTTGATTACGTCATTCCTCGGAAATGGGACAAAAATAGTTCCAACTACACGTATAACAGAATGTCTCTTGTCTCATTGAGGTATAACGTCACACTCTCTGCCCATGAATTACACCTCTGGCTGTATACAATATACACACTTGTAAAGAAACTGGAACAATTTTCACGTCTCCAGGTGAGTCTTTGTTAGAGGTGTACTCAATCCCTTTGACCTATCTTGATGCTTAACAAATACTCAGTATGTTGATATCTGCCTGCTGTTATTATTCCAAGAATCCAAACAACAAAATGATTTCAGAATAGTAAGATTATGACTGATTCATTCACGTATTCAAAGTAAAACTGTTCGATGACAACAGTTAACGCAATGATGGTGTAACGTCTGTAAGGGTCATGTAATTCTCAGAAACAAGTCTCTTCTCGGAATTTCTCCACGCAACAAACATGTTAACGATTAACTGCAGTAACACTGGAATCTAAAAATAGCAATGTCAGTAAGACTGTAGAGTACTGTAGAAAACGACTCAGACACTGAGGCAGACTCTTAGTACTGGCATAAGCAAGATTGACATCACCCACATAAACAATACACACGGAGTTAAAAAAGAATGTATGTATGTATGTATGTATGTATGTATGTATGTATGTATGTATGTATGTATGTATGTATGTATGTATGTATGTATGTATGTATGTATGTATGTATGTATGTATGTATGTATGTATGTATGTATGTATGTAGAATTTATTCCAGCAAAATATATTTGAACATTTATAAATTAACATGTATTGTTATATTGCACCAAACGCTGATCATGTTTGTAGCTATATCTATAGGCTTGCAATAGCACTCGATTATAAGGGTTAACCTGAGAAAACTAAAGTCCGAGTTCCCAATCAAATAACAGTTGTTACAAATGTTAACTTGTTGTGTGTATTTGAAACTCAGGGTCTTTATGTTGTTGTGGTTTTCATTCTTGTTGTAATTTCATTTTATTGGCGTCACTTCATTCTTTACAAATACTTTTAGAAATTATTATCATATACCGATGCAATGGGACATGTTGCACATAAACGCAAAATATGTTGCAAATAATAGAACAAATTTCAGTAACAGGAATGAGGAAAGATTTTTTATATACTTCCTCAAAACAACAACGGCAATGCAATGGTACTTCGTCCACAACAACATTTTAAAGCACACCTTTGTTGGGAATATGCCATCACGATAGCTCAGAGTAGCCGGACAACAATATTCGATCGAGCCGAACATATAATGTTTAAAGTTAACCGATGTCAATAATTTGTGAGGAACAGGGTTCTGGACAGGAATTACGCGTTTATATGCATTATTGCGAATCACACTGAAGTGTTTGCTTGGTGTACCAATTATTGCTTGTAATGAAACACAACAGGAATAAGGGGACGTGACGTGACCTGTTCTGTGCCGGACACCGCGCTATGTCCACAGATAATTATCACACTGCATTTGTCTGAAAATGTTAGATTGATATTAAACTGACTTAAATGGAATTTTAATCCGGAACTACCTTTAAACTGATTTAATGCTATTGTGGCCTTCAATTTACTATCAGTGAGAAACTACGCAATGTATAGACCATTTCTGGGAATGTGGTTTCTTCTCAGCTTTGCCAAATGATTTCACGTTAAGTGGAATCTGTTTTTCTGGATGACCAATGAATACTTTTTGTATCAAAGTTATGGACCTTAAAGGTCCATAACTTTGATACAAAATGTTTTCAATGTAATAATATCAAGCAGTATAAATGAGTTGAAAATGTTGTGTTACCAAACAGCCAATATGCTAAATCCATAAATTTCATGATATAAAATCCCGTTAACAAGAGGATTAAACACTGTGAGTATTTTTCGTAATGCGATTGAACGTTTACAGATAGTATGCTCTTACTATTTGACGGAAAGGAGTTGTTCACTTTTGGAAAATTCCGGCTAAAACAATATTGTGACCTTCGTTGCATTAAGTTTTAACATTATTTATTGTATTTAAAACATATATAATATTGTATACCTACATATACAAGATAGCAAATACGACAGAAACAATATTTTCTAGTATGGTAACAATGCCAAAACAATAATGTATAACATCTAACGTATACAACAATAACATTGTCGGCTTAAATCAACGCTTTAAAAAATGTATCATTTCATTATACTGCTAACTATATGCATGTGGGTGTCTGCAGTTCAGACCTAAGACGTTTGGGCGTAATTTAGAAAGCCTAGGACACGATGACTGTGTATGTCAGAAACACCCTGTGATACCCGAACGTTGTAAATATCAGCCACAGTATGTGTTGCTGCACTGCGTAATATCAGTCATGGGACTTGTCAACGATCATGCGTTCAGGCAGGTTATACTGGCTGGTTATAATAAACACACGCTATAAGCGCCCAAAATAACCGTAGCTGTGTCGACAATGGATGACAGAAGCATTAATATTACCAAAGCTTGTGTAATAGTAATACTTACAATCTGCAATCTAGGTGTCTCCTAGAGGGGGTATTCGCGTTAAGGCGACTTTTTAGTTTCAGGTATTCGCGTTAAGGCGACTGGCGAATGAGCCCTCCTAGAGTAGTATCGAGCCTAGTAAAGGTAAGACATATTTTTTTCTATCAAAACCAAAGAGTCGTTCGAGGGACATTGTCATAGTTAACTGTTCTTTTCTTTATCAAACACGTATATTTCAGACAGACAGGCAAGTTTATTCAAAATGTATATTTCGCAAGAAAGACAAGTTGAAATAATGAGTAAGTGAAACTGTAGCGTGTTATTTACGTTGTTTCAGACGGTTACCAACGACAAATTCAAATGCTAGCATCGGCACACTTGCTCTACAACATTTGAATGACCATACGAGTAGGTCAAGGTTATACAGAGGTGAAGAGATACTTAATAAGGGGAATTTCACATTGTATAGCAGTTACTGCTGTAGATACAAATATTGGAAAAGGTAGCTAACATTTTATGTAGCATTTCTGACCTAATCAAATTCTAAACTTTTAAATTTTCCATTAATACACTAACATTTTAAAACATAAATAGGTCAACATGTACATGACAGGTTTACAATTCCATAACGTTAATTTACTAAAAGAGAGTAGCATGAAACGTAAGATATACAGGTGTACATGCCATTGCATCAGGATAGAGTAAGTACGCAGAGAAGACCAAACAACAAAGCAAACATGTGAATGTCATGTTTTGAATACAGCTCTGAAAACACAAGGATTTGGTTCTTGGTATACTATTCCCAGGACTGTTGGTTCATTAGGGTCGTGTCCAAACATTAATGTTTTTGAAACTTCAACTCTGCTTAAAACTCATTTTAATATATTTAGTGTGTTGTTAGCCGTATTCCATATTCCATTTGGCCATATGCCATATTTGATCTGCAGCAAGATGATGTTCTGCAAGAATAAGTCAATGAACAACCTATCTCTGAACACTGTACAACGACAGTGAATAAGAACAGTATTTTCTGGCAACCGAGTAGACACACACAGACACAGACACACACACAAAACGAAAAAAACCAAAAACATACACACATACATACATACATACATACATACATACATACATACATACATACATACATACATACATACATACATACATACATACATACATACATACATACATACATACATACATGCATGCATGCATGCATGCATGCATGCATGCATGCCTACATACACATACACAGACACACACAGACACGCACCCAAATATATATGTCCATACCATAATGCAGTTTCGATGCTAAGACATATACAGCAATGGAGCCACAAACCTTCATTTGACAAATTAATTAAATATGGTATTTGAAAATACAGCTACAAAGTTTGCTGTTGATTATGCATTGTATATTTACAAAGTGAGATGTCACTTTTCAAATTTTATCGATCTTGAAAGCGTGCAAATTACAGCCGATACTTCTTTATACTGCAAAAATCGATGAGTCATTATTTATAATTGATTAAAAAACAACCAAAATAGTGAAATAAGAGAGTTTATGTTAATGGAGATGAAACTGGACTGTATAATATTGGTTAAAACTGTAAAATAATGTAGTCGAGTTGGTCATAGGGAATTATAAAATGACAGATGATAGTCACTCTCGAGTTTCTTCTAAAATAGAATTCACAAGTTTGTAATCAAACTAGGTGATGACAAACATACCCATATCATCTGTCAGTATTGCATTTATTTTTACTCCACACAGGTGTTCCGGGAAAAGTAATGGCTGATAACACCTCTATTATACTGCAAGCTAAATTTAGACAGATTTTTGTAATCGATAGTGCTTTCTGAACTTCACTTTTAATCAAAAGTACAGGTTCGGCCTCAACAGTGAAGTTAATATCGTAACTGCATAAATTCATAGAGGACAGATGTTTCGGGTTTATATTCCGATACAGGATATGCTGATCGGATAGACACACTGAGTTGTAACTTGTTTAAGTGGCATTTTAGGAGGTGGTATGATGAACAACAAGTAGTAAGCTATGGGGGGATTTGGGGAGCCAGTGATATGACAGACAGGAGAATAATAGGATTAAGATTGCTTGGTGATGAGTTGGTTGTAGGCAGTGGGGATGTAATATCCTTGGTCTCTGTTCATGGCCGGTTGGAGTCTCTATACAGAACTACTACTATACAGAACCTCCTAAAAGCCAATGGCAGACCAACCCCCTACAACTAAAGAAGACCCCTCAGGCACAGTTTACCACATAAAGTGTGACTGTACATCGGCGAAACCTCAAGACCCCTTCCTGTAAGAATCAAAGAACATCAAGCCTCTGTGAAGAAGAAAGACTCTAAATCCGCCATCTCTGACCACACCCAAGCTCACCCAGACCACAACATCCTATGGAACAGCATCAATGTACTCACCAGCAATCACACCCACTTCAAGATCAGAAAGCTACTAGAAGCCATTCACATCAAGAGACTCCAACCGGCCATGAACAGAGACCAAGGACATTACATCCCCACTGCCTACAACCAACTCATCACCAAGCAATCTTAATCCTATTATTCTCCTGTCTGTCATATCACTGGCTTCCCCCCCTAATCCCCCCATAGCTTACTATGTTTGTGTAACTATTGACCCCTTGTGTAAACATCCACCACCCTGTACATCTACCTCATTAATTGTGTAAACATCATCACTTACGGTTCAACTTTACCATGTATATAAATATACCTTGCATCTAGTATTGTACATCATTTGCTTGATAACGATGTTAGTAGCTACACCGAAACGTCGCTCATATCATATTAAAGAAGGTGTATATCCATAGAACTCTCCTTGTTGTACACTGAGTTGTGTTTATACAATCATCGTTATTGACATTAAATCATTGACCAGAGTACTGTTGACTTTCAAAATGAGAAATCCAATCCATTATAACTGTTGATTATACGTTTCATTAAACCCCATCTGATTTAAAACATCATATCAACTTAACTTACCCCAAAGCTACCGAGTATGCAGTTTTCACACGTGGTTGTAGAGCGGCGATAGTGTGTAATGAGTGATAGTGAGGCGATAGTATTCCACCCAGCATGCTCTACTATGCCGGAACAACACGTCACTGTATTATGTTACAAGGATATAACAACATGTAATGGCCGAGGCGATCACTGAGAAATACTTCAGTGGTAATCATTTCTGTATTTACAGGTAGGAACTGATGAACTATTACCCTTTTCGATGTACATGAGTTTCCTTACGTGTATGGCAATTATGCATAGCAATGGCATTACATTGGTTTCACATATTGGATAATGTGGTCGATAATTTGTGCAACCAGATTGCACTCATACTGTAATGCAACCATGCATTATGATAAAGCCACGTTGTTATTGCAGTTGATTCTAAGACAAGAATACATTCTGTAGTCATTATGCAATCGGGAGATATATCAGAGTCAATCAATGTGGATATGATATAATGAATATTTTGAGAGTGCATGAGCACTTGCACTTCCTTATGACCATAGTGGGCCAACCATAGTTGTTTCTACAGCAATCGCTCTTGAAAGATACTTGGCGTATGACGTGAAATTTGCATGTGTACGATTTTCATTTCCTAAACCAAACCAAACAACAACAAAAACAAGAAGAAAAAACCCGGCTAGAAACAAATACTAAAAACTGTGTGATGCAAGATGATTGTCAAAATTAATGGTCTACATTAATTAATAAATCTTCTTGAAAACTGTCAAAATCAAGAATGACACACCATGCACGAATATGGGTGCGACATGGTTGTGCGTTCATAAAATAGCTTATACGTTCTATACAAATTTAAAGTTCAGGTTCCCCCCTACTTTCGCTAAGGGTATATATCAAAAGACATGTTCTCTATTAAATAATGCTGCCTATTTTTGCGTCATTACAAAACATAGGGAAAATTTCTTTATTGTTCGTATCCACAGCGATAAAAACATCCAGTCTCGATACAACGAGGTAGACCGCGGCAGCATTGTTAGGATCCTAATCGAAATAAACGCGTCGAACACATTTTCTAGGCCACTTGTTTCGGAGAAATCTATGTTTCCTCGGGAATGTGACTCAACTAGGTCATTGAGGCACTCACATACATGTCATGCGCAGTCTGTAGATAACACTTCCGTAGCACACTTGCATGTCGCACGTGTGTGCAGCTATATACAATGATTAACGTGTTTTACGATGCAATATAAATATACTTTCCTTTCTATCAAGTTCAACACTTGCCTTGCTTTACATTATCCTTTTTAGGTTGCAAGGTAATTGATGTTAAATGTACATATTTGCAAAGAAATGCTCATTGTGACTAATTCTTAGCTACCTAACCATAATTTAGGAATGCAATGAAGACTTGAATTTAAACACTTACATAATCATTTTCACGGATACCAGTTATTCCAGATCACTTCTACTCTCACATTTGTTGGAAATATATAGAGATTATTACACGAGTAAGTGTGTCATACGACTTATACGAATCTAGTGTGAAATTTTGTATTGCCCGAGCGAGAACGAGGGCAAAACACTATTTTGCACGAGTTTCGTATAAGTCGTGTGGGACACTTGCACGTGTAATGATTTCTTTATTATCCATTTTATTCATGTACATTTGTGCAGTAAAACACGGTAAGCAAGTGTGACTGCCCTGCTCATTGACGTCACGTTCAATTGTTAAAAGACGTCACCGACGACTAAATACAGAAACACAGAAACAATGGTTGCTATGCAAAAGTGATATGTGCACATGCGCACATATGACATATATGACACTGGTTCACCATATGGTTAATAAATACTATTATTCATTCATCTGTTGACAAGCAAGGATTTAATTGTGTGATATTCTGTGATGTCTCCAAACCATTTTGTTAGCTTTGCAACAGTGGGTTACTACATAAACTTTAAAAAAATATACATTTCGATGCCGCAACAAAATGTAATTGTAAATGGTGGTGACCTCAGCTGGGGCACCCCCAGGTTCTCTTTCGAACCCCTTTCTATTCATTGTATATATACACCACTCATAATAATGTTAAAAAATCACCTCGTTTATTTGCAGATGACACTTACAT